CTAGCTAAGAGTCTTTCTCTAAGGAGATCCGCTTCCTTTCACCACAATCTCAAATATTGGCTATATGAGATACTATTAATCAGAAGTTTTGGATGTGAACTTGTAGCATGTTTAATAGTATTGCTGCAGTATCTTTATGGAATAGTGTAGGTTTCAATAAACCATCCTGTTGAACCAGGATCTGAATACCCAAGAAAGGTATCTGTTGGCAATTAAATTGCATAATGAGTGGAGCGTGCCTGTGTGATTGCGTTCTTTTCTGGTTCGACCCGGTGTCCTTGGGGGAGCTAGGTGGTGAGTCACATGGTTGGGTAAACTGTGGGGCACACCCATTAATGAGTGCCAACTTACCTACATTTATTTGTATACTCTCTATTTCCCATCAATCATTTGCCTCAGTGGTGCATATGGTATCGGCATGCGAATCACCCAATAGTCCATGTGGCGGGAAATAAAAATTGTGCTTTAATAAGTTGCGCCGATAAAGTCCGCTTTTTCTGAGAGACATCTTTGTTCCTAAGCTATTTGTACACTGGTACTTGATTTCAATGGTACTCCTGGTGGCTGGCACCAGGGGACATGGGTTCTGGCTGACAAAGGTACCTGATGACACTTATACTGGTGCTGGCTGGTGATCAGCACACTGGTACAAGATTTCACTGGTACTGATGCTGGCTCGCGATCAGGACACTGGCTCTGGCAGGCAAGGTACCTGATGACACTAGTGTTGGTGCTGGCTAGCAATCAGGACACTCGTTCTGGCTGACACTGGTATCTTATGACACTGGTACTGGGGCTGGCTGGTGATCAGCACACTGATACTGGTTTTCACTGGTACCACTGCTGGATGGTGATCAAGACATTGGTAGTATAATTTCACTGGTACTTCTGCTGGCTGGTGATCAGGATATGGGTTCTGACTGACAAGAATACCTGATGACACATATACTTGTGCTGACTGGTGATCAGCACACTGGTACAAGATTTCACTGCTACTGGTAATGGCTGATGATCAGCACACTGGTACAAGATTTCACTGGTACTGGTGCTGGCTGGTGATCAATACACTGGTACAAGATTTCACTGGTACTGGTGCTGGCTGGTGATCAATACACTGGTACAAGATCTCACTGGTAATGGTGCTGGCTGGTGGTCAGCACACTGGTACAAGATTTCACTGGTACTGGTGCTGGCTGGTGACCAGCACACTGGTCCAAGATTTCACTGGTACTGGTGCTGGCTGGTGATCAACACACTTTTACAATATTTCACTGGTGCTGGCTGGTGATCAACACACTGGTCCAAGATTTTACTGGTACTGGTGCTGGCTGGTGATCAACACACTGGTCCAAAATTTCACTGGTACTGGTGCTGGCTGGTGATCAACACACTGGTACAAGATTTCATTGGTACTCATGCTGGCTGGTGATCAACACACTGGTGCTAGATTTCAATGGTACTGATACTGGCTGGGGGTTAGGACACTGGTTCTGGCTGACACATTGTTACCTGATAACACTGGTACTGGTGGTTATTGGCAATCAGGACACTGGTACTAGATAACACTGTTACTAGTTTTTTCACTGGTACTAGTATGACAGGGTTGTCAAACTGGTGGCCCTCCAGCATGTTGTCCCATCATGCCTCTGTCTTTGGGAGTCATGCTTGTAACTGTCAATCTTGGGACTTGTAGTTTGGCAACAGCCGGAGGGCTGTTGACACCCGTGTAGTATGACAAGCAATCAGGACACTAGTTGTGGCTGACATTGGCATTAAAACACTCAACTGGTGCTGGATCGTGATCAGAACATTATTGCTGACTGACCTGGTACTAGAACAATGGCACTGGTGCTAGTTGATAATCATAACACTGGTTGTAGCTGACACTGGTATTAGGACATTGTACCAGTTCTGGTTGGTGATTAGGACACTGACATCTGTCTCCTTTATAGTTCTGAGCTTTCAGTAAAAAAATATAAAAAAAATCGGATTAGTGTACTATCTGAATGCTGCGAATGGTTTATTACCTAAGTTTTGGGAAAAACAACAAGCACCTATTGTAAAAGATTAGATAGAAAGGGTGGAGAGGATTTATAAATTGGAAGAACTATACCACATGGAGGAAGATAGAATGGAGATTTTCCGTAGGAGATGGGAAAAGTGAGAAGAATTTAAAAGGTCAAGTTCATACCTAGAATACATGTACTAGGGAAGGAGAGAGGAAAAGAAAAAAAAAGAAGAGAAAAATCATGGAGGATAAAAATAAAACGAAAGAAATATTATTTTAGAACAAGTAGAAAAAAATTCATTAGGGCTGCGGGGGAGGGCTTAAGGGCTGGGGAGGTATGGGATATGGGAGAGGAGGGAGGGGAAGGGAAAGGGGAATAAAGAGATACTAGGAGCATTGTCAACTATTTGATATATTGTTAGACAGATATGAGTATTATAATAAGGTGTTGGTTTTTTTTTAGCTTTTGTAATTGAAATGGTTTTTCTGAAAACTATAATAAAATATTTATAAAAAAAAAAAAGGACACTGACCAACACTGCTATTAGAACACTGTACTGGTGTTGGCTAATGATCAGGATATTGGCGCTCCCTGACACTGGTGCTAGAACAATGCACTGGTGCTGTCTAGCGGTCAGGACACTGGTCATGGCTCACACTTGTGGGCAGGTGCCTTTATGTTATTTGTCAGGAATGGACTTGCCAATGGTGGTGGGACTCACCTGCCTTGTGGGCTGCAGTACCATGGCTGGCCAGCGGGTGCTCTCGGCAGCCAGAAGCTCACTCCTGCAATCAAGCCATCACCTGAGGCTGATTGCAGGAGGTGTATTTAGGGAATGGCCAGGCCTGCAGTCAGGGCCTTGGTGTATTGGTCCCATGAGCCCCTGTACCTGCATCCTGACTGATCCTGACTCTGCCTGATCCTGACTCTGCCTGATCCTGACTCTGCCTGATCCTGACTCTGCCTGATCGTGACTCTGCCTGAACTCTGCCTGCACTGACCTCGGCTACTCCTGACCAATCTTCTGCCTACTCCTTGTACCTTGTCTGCCTGTTAGCTACCGGCCTGCCTGACTACGTTGTGCTCCATATTTTTATATATATATATCAGTTAATGTTAAATATCGTATTGTCTCGATATTTAATTAACTTGTATTGATGAGAAATGTTCAGATAGAAAGTCCTTCCACTTCTTACATAAACTCAAAAAGATGATTTAATAATAATGTTGCATAAAATTAGAAATAAAATATTGGAATACAGAATGTTTAAATAATGTCTAAAAAATATAGTTAAGTTCATGATAATAAGATTGTATATATGTATATGTTTGTGTGTGTGTGTGTGTGGTGTATCGCATCAAGGCTTCTAGCAAAGTGACCTTAAAAAGTCTTTGTTCTGCTCTTAAAAGAGCAATCCAGCCCCCACCATCTCCTAAAAATTGGCTGATCTTCTCTTGTGTTCCTTGTAGTCCCACCAACATAATTGGAAACAGATGTGTATATATAACAAACCTCCAGTTTACTTCTCCTCCCCTTGGAGTCTGAATGTAACTTTAGAAGGTCTAGACAAAACTTCACTGACATTCCATCAATTAAGATAAATTAGATGTATAACACACACACACACACACACACACACATATATATATATATATTCTCCTAAAAGTAATCTTAATAAGAGTTATCTCATATATAAATATCGTAATCAAGAAACATTACAATATAAATCTTGTAAACCTAACAATTCTCTAGTTAGTGAAACATAATCTCTTACATAGATGGGGGAGGATGGGGGAAGGAATGGCTAATTACTACCACGTTGCTTGAATGTAGAGAAAACCAAGATATATGTTCACATATGTATACACAGACTATATAAAGTCTAATTATCTTTCTTTTCCCAATCTAGAACAAATAGAAATATAATAACTCAATTATACTATTAAGATCCAACTCATTCATACATATGTTAGTACTGTTAATAAGAAGATATTAGATATTAGGTTAAGGAAAGCTTCTAACAATTAAGGTTTGGGTTTGTTGCACCTTGTTGTACGTATTTGTGTTAGTTTTGGGTTTGGTTTGTTGCACTGCGTTTATGTCTGTGTTGCCTTAATAAATTATATTATATAATATATTATATTTACACGCTATACCTGAAGCCTGCGTTTCCCTGTGTCGGTCCACACACCTCTGGTCATACCCGGAGCCCTAACCAGAAGTGGCTGCACAGGGAAGCCATCTTGGCTTGTTGTTGGGAAGGATGCATCCTGAGGAGGTTGTGTACTTGTATCTGCTAGTCTTAGATGACAGAGATTATGCCTATCAGACTCTGAAGGAGTATGCCAGGGATCAGCTGCTAGAATGCATACGGATCGTTCATTTCCTAGTAGATCAGGGCACAGAGTTCTCTGAGGTGCAACCATTGATTCAGGCTTGTGCGGAGTTGGCTTCATCTAGTACCCCTGAAAGCAGGGATGACTTTTTGCCACCGTTTAGTGCAGACCAAGTAGAGTCACTGGTATGGTTATTGGAGGATGATGTGGATTGCTTCTTGGAGCATTATTCAGCATGTTCACAACAGGTGCTAGTGGATTGTATAAACGCAGTGCAGTCTTTGGTCAGACAGGCTTTGTGTAAGCTGAGGTTTGTTCAACCAGTACTACAGACCTTGTCAGATTTGTTACACCCAGCCTCAGTCAGCTTGCAACAACCCAGTCCTGCTTCTAATCACTCCTCTGCTCAAAGCTCTCTTCCTCCATTTCCCACAGCACCCCCAGGGACAGCCCAGTATACCCTGCTATCTACCACATGTCAGTCCCCTGTTCCCACTCGCTCCACCTATCCTTCCTTTAACCCTGTAAAGAAGTCATCTGTAGAAGCTGCTCCCTCCGTTTACAGACCTGCGTTTACTTACAGTGCTCCAGTAAATAAAACCAAGAAGAAGCAAAAATTCTTTCCAACCAGTACCATCCTGCCAGTATCCAAACCGGTCAGCCTGCTGTCTGAGAACCCACCTTCTGTTATCCAGCCTGGTGCCCCGGTGCCCGCTGTTCAGCCTGATGCCCGGATGCCTGATGACCCAGTGTATGCTGCCCAGCCTGATGATCCTCCCCGGCCTGATGATCCTCCCCAGCCTGATGACGCGATCCAGCTGGATGACCCGGTCCAGCCTGATGACCTGGTCCAGCCTGACTCCCTGGTGCCCGTGGTCCAGTCTGATGCCCCAGTGCCCGCGGTCCAGCCTGATGCCCCGTGCCCGTGGTCCAGCCTGACGCCCCGGAGCCCGCGGTCGTGCCAGATGACTCGGTGCCCGCTGTCAAGCTTGGTGACTCGGCGCCTGCTGTCGAGCTTGGTGACTCTGTGCCCGCTGTCGTCCCAGATGACTCGGTGCCCGCTGTCGAGCTTGGTGACCCGGTGCCCGCTATTATGCCAGATGACTCGGTGCCCGCTATTATGCCAAATGACTCGGTGCCCGCTGTCGTGCCAGATGACTCGGTGCCTGCTGTCGTGCCAGGTGACCCAGTGCCTGCTGTCGTGCCAGATGACTCGGTGCCCGCTGTCGTGCCAGATGACCAAGTGCCCGCTGTCGAGCTTGGTGGCTCGGTGCCCGCTGTCGTGCCAGATGACTCGGTGCCCGCTGTCATGCCAGATGGCTCGGTGCCCGCTGTCGAGCTTGGTGACCCGGTGCCCGCTGCTCCACCTGATGGCCCGGTGCCCGGTGCCCGCTGCTCCGCCTGATGGCCCGGTGCCCGCTGCCTAGCCTGATGGCCGGCTTCCTCGCCTGATGGCCCGGTGCCCGCTGCTCCACCCGATGTGCCTTGGCCTGCTGCCCAGCCCGATGTGCCTCAGCCTGCTGCCCAGCCCGATGTGCCATTACGGACTGTTTGGAGCATCCTGAGGCCGCTCCTTGAGGGGGGGGGGTACTGTCAGGAATGGACTCGCCAATGGTGGTGGGAATCACCTGCCTTGGGGGCTGCTGTACCAGGGCTGGCCAGCGGGTGCTCTCGGCAGCCAGAAGCTCACTCCTGCAATCAAGCCATCACCTGAGGCTGATTGCTGGAGGTGTATTTAAGGAATGGCCAGTCCTGCAGTCAGGGCCTTGGTGTATTGTTCCCATGAGCCCCTGTACCTGCATCCTGCCTGATCCTGACTCTGCTTGAACTCTGCCTGCACCAACCTCGGCTACTCCTGACCAATCTTCTGCCTACTCCTTGTACCTTGTCTGCCTGTTAGCTACCGACCCGGCCCGCCTGACTACGTTGTGCTCCATATTTATATATATATCAGTTAAGGTTTGGGTTTGTAAGCACCTTGTTGCACGTATTTGTGTTAGTTTTCGGTTTGGTTTGTTGCCTGCGTTTATGTCTGTGTTGTCTTAATAAATTATATTGTTTTACACGCTATACCTGAAGTCTGTGTTTCCCTGTGTTGGTCCACACCACTCTGGTCATACCTGGAGCCCTGACATTATTACTGTACAGTGTATTAACAGGTTAATATTTGGTGACCTAAAGATTAATGTGTGCTGTGGTGTAACTGCCCCTTGCATGTGTCACTTTCTGCTTTGAGGTGATATATGCAGGAGAAGGTCAGGCCTCACTCTCTTTTTTTTGGCCTGTGGGTAGTGGGGAGCAGTAAAATCCACATCATATGTAGTTGTTTGATTGAGTTTGGGGGCTACCTTGGAGCAGTACCCTGTATCATCACTATGGACTTAACTTTCTTAACCACTTCATGGAACAAACAAGCTTAGCTACAAAATATGGAATACCGCAGCACAGCCAAAACACAGCACTTAAATGAAAGGGAATTAATAAATGTATAGTTGCCAGAACTTGCAATTTCCTGTTAACTGTATTGAAAGTAAGACAACTAACTCTACTACTGAAAGTAGTTGCTGGTTAAGTGATGTCATTTTGTCTGGATCATTTGCAATAGAGTTTAGTAGACACCTTTCACACGAGCGGTCGGTTACCTCCAATAAAAAAAAAACAAAAAAAAAAGTAGACGGGAATCTGTTCCCCCTTCATCTGGCTGGATCAGATAGGGGGCAGTCGGTCCATTTACATCCGTCTTGCCATAGAGCAGAGCGGACTGTGTCCACTCTGCATAAGCATAATGGATCTGGACCTGTCATTCGACTGCTCCACTCAGATCAGAAGGGGATCAGTGGGCAAACACAGCTTATGTGAAAGGGGCCTTATTTCTATACCCTTATAGTCATAACAATGTCTCCTTCCCTGTCAATGCGACAGCTCCTGATGACATCATGATGATGAAATGCATATATGTATGAAATGCATATATATCAGCGGTGGAACGCAGGTAGCATTCTGGCATTGCACAGCCTCTTAAAGAGCCAATCACTTTTATTCCTGTAAGTGCAATACTTTATTTTACATAATTATTAATAAATGGTTTGACACTATGTAAGCTTCCTTCTCTGGATGATATATGACAGGAGAGGAGAATCCACCAGGAAAGTGAGGAGACCATTGGTTTGGAGGATACCACATCAGTACATTGCTGTGTACCACGGACCAAAGATTAACTTGAGCATTTTTCGGCTTACTTTTTCAAGAGGTCAAATAACTGTGGTGAGTGCGGTTGCCAAGAGGGAGCATGAGAGGATTCACTGGCTTGACCACAATAGCTTATTGAATTGTGCATGTTCACTGCAGCACCAAGATCACCAGAAACTGCATTGAATTTCTATTAAGGGGAAAGGACATTGTAGCCCCAGTGTACTATTTTAAGAACTCACTTGCATTGTTAACTTGAACATATTTTTTTGCATATCTATATGTTTGAATGTATATATAGTGAGGGAGGTGGACTGTAGCACCCGCTTGGCATAAATTTTGCACATTTTTTCGTTATTAGGGGATAAGTACTGGTTTACAACAATTGGCTTAATCAAGGCATTTTTGTACATGGGACACACACAAAGGTTTACAGTCGGGGAGGTGCACTGTAGCACTTGCTTAATTTCGGTATAGGTGGACCGGCTTATATTGTGTACTAATATTCAACTCAAGGTACTTTTTTGCGGATTAATTTAATACAAAACACTATGCAGCACTGTTTATTTATAATTTTATTTACTATTTTTACTAAAAGGTATACTTTTCAGTGTACCAAACACAAGTGATATACATATGAAAATAAACAGAGTTTACATTTACTGGGAGAGGTGCATTGTAGCACGGCACTTTTTTTTCCATTATTGTATTTGTTTATCTCGAACACTATTAATTTCACAACTGTGTATTAATGAAAATCACGCACTAGCAGGGAAGGTGCTTTGTAGCACCTCACACATACATACCGTATTTTATCAATGTGTTTCTTTGTGTTAGGCAGCTTTACACCATTTATTTATAAAGTGTTTACACATTCTCACTGGGTTTGTGGTAGGTGGTAGCAGCCGCCCATCCTACTTGTTTCATCTATCCATTGCGCAGATCCTCTTGTTTATTTTTGTACTACCTAATCTTTACATTGTTAATGATAATCTAGGGCTTTTTTTCCCTTTCTTTATAATTCTGCCTTAAACATAATTGTTGTATATTACTTTTGTGCTCTTGTATTCTCTTTTATGATTACACATCTGCAGTATGTTTTACCTGTCAATTTTACCTTTGCAATTGCTTTGTAATCCACTTCTATTATAACCTAATAAAATGTATTTTAACCTAAAATGCAGAATAGGTTTCTGCAATATCTCCGTGAGGAAATATACTGCATTTTGGCCATTAGATGGCGCTAAGGATCATAGGGCTTCCTCTATTACAGAACAGATAGCCAAAATGTGTGCAACATTCATGAGTGTGTTTGTCAATTGTCCAACAAATGTTTTGTATGTGTACCTCTGAGTGTTCATATCCACTGGAAATGAAATTACTTTATAAATAATATATGTGTTTAAGCTGGATGTTCAGCATTATTATTCTGGCCATGCAAATTGAAATTGTGGAAATGTAGAGGTCCTTATTTCCAGCAACCAATTGATCAAATGCGGGTGAAATTCCACAGACACAAGCTTGTACACTGATTTTCAATATTTCATTTTTTCAAACCAGAAATAATTTGTGATTGAAATCTAAATGAAAACAGCAAATTGTCTAATATTTAGAACATTTTCTTTATTGGCTGTTCTTTGTAAAATGCTAGTAGTTTTTATATATTTATTATGAACAGTTTTGTATCATGGTAACAACTGTTATTCTGAAATGTATTTAGCCATTTGTTTGAACCACTTGCCTACTGGCCACACTTACCCCCTTCCTGCCCAGCCCAATTTTCAGCTTTCAGAGCTGTCGCATTTTGAATGACAATTGCGCAGTCATGCAACACTGTACCCATATGAACTTTTTATCATTTTTTCATACAAATAGAGCTTTCTTTTGGTGGTATTTAATCACCACGGGGTGTTTTATTTTTTGCTAAATAAACAAAAAATAAAATGTTCTTAGTTTCTATTATGAAATTTTGTAAACAGGTAATATTTCTCCTTCACTGATGTACGTTGATGAGGCTGCACTGATGAGCACTGATAGGCAGCACTGGTGGGCACTGATAGGCAGCACTAATGGTCATTGATAGGCTGCAATGATGAGGCGGCACTGGTGAGCATTGATGAGAAGGCAGCACTGAAGGGCACTAATAGGCAGCACTGACTGGCTGCACTGACTGGTGGCACTGATACACAACACTGACTGGTGGCACTGCTGAGCACAGATTGAAAGTACTGCTAGGCACAGATTGGCAGCACTGATAATCAGTGCCCTAATTATCAGTGTAGATGTCTCCTTTCACACTTGCCAGTTATCGGCAATGCTTTCCTCATGCTGTGGCAAGTGTGTTTACATACATGGTGAGTCCATTGTGATTGGCCCTTTACTGGTCATGTGATCAGCTGTGTCCAAAAGACACAGAAAGCACCAGGTGCGCGCCGCTGGAGGCACGCAGGGGGCGTGGTTCTCAGAGGATGTCATATGACGCCCTCCCAGAACTGGACAACTGCGTTGTGGCCGTCATTCAGCTATAGCACGGTCAAGAAGTTGTTAAAACACATCATGTGACTAATGTAGCTACTATCAGTGCACTTGAGTCACTAATTAGCTATAAATATCCGTTACCTTCTGGCTCCTTTTTTTTGGCATTATATGTTATACCACATACAGGTAAGTACAAACATTTTCAAATTAGAATGATACAATCTGAAGGATATGTCAGAAAAATAGGGAATGTAAAGTTCACCACCCAGGTGGGCTGTAGAGATGTGGATTTAAAACTTTTAGTGTCACCCCTTTTATACCACAGTGATAAAGAATGCCCCTCCTTCCCCAACCTAAAGCCATCACAATGCTGTAAACCCCTCTTTATGCAGCTACCATAATTCTGAAGATCATACTTTCCCATATACTACTCACAGAGCCCCAGACCCATACCTCCACCACAGTGTAACAGAACTCTCTTGTGATGGTTTCAGTCTCAACCTGCTCAAAGATTTATCTAGATCCTGAGACAAAAAGCATTGTTTACAGCATCAGCTGTTGCAATTCTGACATTTAAAATGTCTGTGTTACTTGCAGTGATGCCATGACAGTAATGTACAGTGGGGTAAATAATTATTTTATCTCCTGCAGATTTTGTAAGTTTGCTCACTTACAAAGAAATGAAGGGTCTATAATTTTATCAAAGGTGTATTTTAAATGTTGCAGACAGAATACCAACCAAAAATCCAGAAAAATCACATGATACAAATGTTGAAAATTGAGTTGCAGTTCAGTAAGTAAAATATGTATTTGATCACCTACCAACCAACAATAATTCTGGCTCCCACAGACTGGCTATGTGCTCATGTGGTACACAAATTAGTTCTGTCAAGTTTAGAAGGTGCTCCTAATGACAACTCATTATGTGTGTAAAAGACGCCTGTCCACAGAATTTCTTTCTTCCATTCAAACCTCGTGGGCAAATCTCAAAGGATGTCAGAGGCAATTATTTGCAAATAGAAGAAATACAAAATAGCTATCAACCGCCCTTGGACTGGAGCTCCATGCAAGATTTTGCCTCATTGGGTAAGGATGATCATGAGAAAAGTCAAGGGTCAGCCCAGAAGTACATGGGAGGAACTTGTGAATGATCTCAAGGCAGTTGGGACCACAGTCACCAAACAAACCATTGGTAACACAATATGCTGTCATGGATTGAAATCCTGCAGCGCTCACAAGGTCCCGATTCTCAAGAACGCACATGTATAGGCCCATCTGAGGTTTGCCAATGAACATCTAAATGATTCAGAGAAGGGTTGGCAGAAAGTTCTGTGGTCAGATGAGACCAAAATTGAGCTTTTTGGCATTAACTTGACTCACCATGTTTGGAGGAAGAAAAATGTTGACTATGCCCCTAAGAACACCATCCCTACAGTCAAGCATGGAGGTAGAAACAACGGGGCTGTTTCTCTGCAAAAGGTACAGGCTGACTTTGCCACAGTGAGGGGCCAATGGACGGGGCCATGTATTGTAAAATCTTGGATGAGAACTTTCTTCCTTCAGGCAGAACACTGAAGATGGGTCATAGATTGGTCTTCCAGCATGACAATGACCCAAAACATACCGCCAAAGCAACAAAGGAGTGGCTAAATAAGCAGCACATTAAGGTCACGGAGTGGCTTAGCCAGTTTCCAGACTTTAATCCTATAGAAAATGTATGGAGGGAGCTGAAACTTCGACTTGCCAAATGACAAACAAGAAAGCTTAAGGATTTAGAGAAGATCTGTAAAGAAGAGTGAACCAAAAACCCTCCTGAGATGTGTGCAAAGCTGACCAAACCAACTACAAGAAACGTCTTACCTCTGTGCTTGCCAACAAGGGTTTCTCCACCAAGTACTAAGTCATGTTTTGCTTGGGGATCAAATACTTATTTTACTCACTGAACTGCAACTCAATTTATAACATTTGTATCGTGTTTTTTATGGATATTTGGTTGATGTTCTGTCTCTATCATTTAAAATACACCTATGATAAAAATTATAGACCCTTCATTTCTTTGTAGGATGGCAAACGTACAAAATCTGTAGGTGATCAAATAGTTATTTTCCCAATGTAACAGAGATTACATTATAACAGCTGTCCAAAGAGGAAAGGTTAGAGCATTCAGAGATGCAGCTTAACAATTTTTAACTACCCTTTAATGAAAGAAAAGAAAGATGGTGCAAGAAATATTTACAGAAAATACAATACATAACAGACATAAGCAAAAGTAAAATAAAATGGATTAAAATTGGAAAAGATACTTAAAATGTTACTAAACCCAGGACCCTGCATTCATTATATATGGTCTCCCACAGTACACAGAACTTGGAAATGCAATTATTTTATTAAATAAAAACTGCTAAATACCATCAGTGGTATACAGCAGTCTTGTGACTTCTTTCAATGTCCAACCGAGCATTGGTTAATCTTTTAGGAGGAGTTTTCATTCTCCTCTAACTGTCCTATGAGGCTGCATGACCCTTGACACTCTGTCCAGATAGCACTGATTGGCCCTTTGCTGATCACAAGCTTCACCCTCCCCCCAAAAAAAAACTAGCAATACACACCAAACAGAGCATGTGCAAATTTGCCACTACTGCTCTGTACTATGGCAGATGGATTGGAGACAGTAAAAGAAGGGGAGGATCAGAGAAAACAGGACCAAACAGCCTTTTTACACAATGCAGAGGACTAACCTCGTAGGTTCTACAGTGAGTATAACAAGCATGCTTTACTGCATATACAGACTGATTTTACTGTTGTGGGTTTATTAACATTTTAAGTAAATTTCGCCTGATTTTTGATTCAGTGCAGAGTTAGGAATACATGCTGAGTAAGTTCAGTCTGTTTTGGCAGAGTAACTGGTCCTTAGAAATGTGACACTCAGTATCCTTGGTAGTTTTTTTCTTACACAGCTTTTTTCTCATCACTAGAGAAGGTGTTTCAAAGCCAGTTCCAGCCAGTCAAAGGGTCCGAGGGGTGTTTTGAGGGAATTGTATCATGCTCAGCTGACACATCCTTAATGCCAACTATTCAGGTTACATCTCACAAAGTTTTAAAATCCAAAAACCAACACATTATTTAGCAAATTGACATTACATTTTGTTGGATTCAAATATATTTCTTTTTTTATAATTTTTTAAGTATTGTTTCTCCTAGGAGGTCTAATGTGTCTTATTAGCCTTATAGACATTCTAATAACGGTGTGTTTTGTATTTAACCAATTGCTATCTTCTTATACATTAGTGTAACCACTTATATAGATGTAATTCAGTAAAAGTGAGAATTATGGAGAATGTATGCACCATAACTGTGCAATTTAGCTGTAAGTCAGTACATAGCCATACATATGTGTATTCCTATGATGCATACCAGACTATTTACAATGTGGCCATTAATCATCTATAATTTCTCTGATGTTTCTCAAATGTAGCTTATACTGGATGGTCAAATGTGTCACCTTGTTTGACTGCCTACCATAGACATAATATTAATTCTGTTACCTTGCTTAGAATTCTGGACAAATTAAGAATGGCAGTTTCCAGTTTTTCATTATTTTCTCCACACCGTTTGGGGTTCATCAGACTTCACTATTGCCCCACCCTTCTCCACTATACAGCCACCATCATGCTGCATAGCCCCCTTCCTTCCCATGCAGAAAGCTTGTATGGGGTGGAACAATGGCACAATGGTAGGTGAATTTGGAGAGGAATCTGTGACACTGTGGTCAGTGTCTATTATCATGACACCACGGGGTTTATTTACTAAAGCTGGAGAGTCCAAAATCAGACTCCCTTCTGCATAGAAACCAATCAGCTTCTAACCTCAGCTTGTTCAATGAAGCTTTGGCAATGAAACCTGGAAGCTGATTGGTTTCTATGCAGAAGGGAGTCTGATTTTGGACTCTCCAGCTTTAGTAAATAAACCCCCACATGTCAAGGGATCCTGACATTGCATATAAGGGAAAGGTACAACTGAGCTATACTTTGGGTATTTTGCAACCACAAGGTCTAGCAAAATTTGTTAGGGTTCCCTTTTATTATACTTTTTTATTTCTTTTCTTGCATAGCAAAAGTAAAGCTACATGTTATGTTTGCAGGAATATGTTGAGCACTAGATGGGTAAACCTTGCATGCCGGGAACTTCAGTTCATCCTGCAGATACTGTGGAGCTAAGCAACTTCACAACGTGCTCTCCGAATATGATGTGATGTTCTGGTTACGCAATCTATGTCAGCAGCCAAACAGCAATTATATTACTCATCAGCTTTGGAACTCTGCCTCACAACGTCAGCTTTGTGAGAAGATCTGATACTTCTATTTATTAACTCTTGAGCACTTTGCCCTTTCTTGTGTTCCTCTTGTTTGCCTGAAAAGTTCAAAGTGACCACCAATGGTACAAACACACGGTCAAGCACATGCCCTAATAGGAGGGCTACACCTTAGACTTCACACTTGGGCTTTCTGTTACTGGGAATCATATCTCAACATATAATTGCATTGTTACTTTGCAGCATTAGTGAGAATCAATGTAATCAACTATACAAACCTCCTGTATATAAGGGGAGTCTTTAAAGTATATTTTTGTTGTTTTGAATAGAGTAAGAAATGGCTAAAAGCCATATTACATTTATTTGCACCTGGGGAGATCTCCTTTCATTTTCTGCCCTTTAGAAAAGAAAAAGAGGAAATCCTCTCCTCCCTTAGACAGTTGTCAGGACATTGAAAGATATTCCCTGTATTCCTGTTCTGAAAGGTAGAACATTTGATTTTCCTTCACTTTCATTCCCAGTTCCCACCAGGACAAAGGCACATCTTCGGCCATGAAACTCAGACAATTAACTGTCTCAGACTTCATGGCTCTAGGTGAATTATGTAATTAGAAATGGGCAGTTTCAGAGAATTTTACATTTCCCATTTTGTTTATGAACATTCTACATTTTCCTTAACATATTCCATGGTGACTGGAGTAGGGCTACTATGGCTATAAATTTAGAGTGATATTAAAGGCAAGTTAAAAAAAAAATAACAAACATGTCATACTTACCTGTTATGTGCAGTGGTTTTGCACAGAGCAGCCCCAATCCTCTTCTTCTTTAGTCCCCTGTCGGCGCTCCTGGCCCCTCCCTCCTGCCAAGTGCCCTCATAGAAAATACCTTGCTATGGGGGCACCCAAGCAAGCTTGCTCCCATGCTACTGCTCTGCGTGTCCATTCATACACAGAGCTGTGGCTCGCCCCCACCCCCTCTCTCTCTTGATTGGCTCACTGGCTGTGATTGACAGCAGCAGGAGTCAATTGCTCCTGCTACTGTCTCAACCAATGGGGAAGGAGGGTCCCTAGAGAGCCAAGACTCTCGTGTACATTGCTAGATCGTGATGGGGCTCAAGTAAGTATTATGGGGCTGGGGGTGCTGCTGCACACAGAAGGTTTTTTACCTTTATGCATACCATGTATGAAGGTAAAAACCCCTTGAGCCTTTAGAACCACTTTAAGCATGTAATTATGCAAATGTGTATTCCTAACACACATTAACTAGTTTCCATCCGCACGAAAGCCAAAGGACAGCTACAGCGCGGTTGTCTAGTTCTGGGACAACGTCCATGGATGTCATTCCAGAACGCGCCCCCAGCAGCGCGCACCCGGAACAGCCAGTGATTGCGGTGTCCTACGGACACAGCTGATCATGTGATATGGTAAACGGCCTTTTACCTTGAGATCAGCTGTGTCCAATGACACAGCAGATCACCGGTAAATACAGTTGCCGGTTATCGGCTGCACTCTGCTCATGCTGTCACAGCAAGTACTGCCGAGAACCGGCAATTGTCAGCAAAGGGATCGGCACTGATCATCAGGGCACTGATGATCAGTGCCCAGCAGTGCTGCTCACCTGTGCCACCCACCTGTGCCCATAAGTGCTGTCCACCTGTACCCATCAGTGCAACCCACCTGTGCCTTGCAGTGCCACCCACCTGTTCCCTGCAGTGCCACCCACCTGTGCCCATCAGTGCCACCCATCAGTGCCACCCTTCAGTGCTGCCCGGCAGTGCCGCCCATCAATGCCCATCAGTGACGCCTATCAGTGCAGCATCATCAGTGTCAGCTTATCAGTGCTGTCTATCAATGCCGCCTATCATCCTATCAGTGCCCCCTATCAGTGCCCATTAGTGCTGCCTATCTGTGCCCATCAGTGCTGCCTATCCATGCCACCTCATCAGTGCCCATCAGTGCTGCCTATCTGTGCCCATCAGTGCTGCCTATCAGTGCAGCCTCATCAACACACATCAGTGAAGGAGAAAAATTATCTGTTTGCAAAATTTTATAATAGACAGAAACAAAAAAAAACCTTTTTTTTTTTTTTTTTCACTTTTTTTCTCTTTTTTTGTTTATAATGCAATGAATTAAACACCCAGCAACAAGTAAATACCACCAAAAGAAAGCTCTATTTGTGTGAAAACAAATGATAAAAATGTTATATGGTTACAGTGTTGTATGACTGTGCAATTGTCATTCAAAATGTGAGAGCGCTGAAAATTGGCCTGGGCAGGAAGGGGGTAGAAGTACCCAGTACGCAAGTGGTTAAACGCCTCTGTAAGGTTTTTTTGGCATCTGAATCCCATTGGGAGGTTTCCCTTCACTTGCTGTCCTATATCCAAAACAGGAAGTGAGAAGAAATCCCTCTAAAGTGAGAAAATCCCTGCCCTGGTTGTCACCAGTATCACCAGAACTAGCATCCCAGTTGGAAAGTATCCCCACTAATCCTGTTCTGGGGGCAACACAAAAATGTGGGATTTTCTTTTATATTCAATTTCATTGATAATGATAAACATGACATATAGAGAGGGTGAATCACCCTAACTGAGGCACAGACAGCAAGTAAAACCTGACAGATGTTCTAATTTCTCTTCGCTCTGTCCAAAATAAAAATGTCTTAACTTTTATTTTGGCATTACAGAAAAAGTCCTTTTTAATACACCATGTTGTTCTTCTACCTTCTTAAAGCGAAGCTGAAGTGCCCATGACAATTTTTTTAAAAAGCTTACCGCCTAATATTTCATCTTTCCCATAACAATACCTGAATAAACGTATATGTGCTATCCTGCTCTTTATTTGATAAGTAATATTTTACCTGGATCTAGGAAGCAGGCAGGAGCCATGAAGAATGTGGGCATCTGAAGCCCGCAGGTCTATATTTCCGGGATTAGGTGCTGCTGGCTATCCTCAGCATACACCTCCCGATCTCGTGCCTGTGCAATAATGGCACTGTGCTGCACACTTCATTCCTAACTAGGATTCGCAAGGACTCCTGGGATGGAAGACCTGAGCACCATCCTACCCATGCCGCCATTGGCGTCTACAGATGTCAATCACCAGGTCCCGGCCAGAGATTCTCCATCGGCACCCAGCGATTGCAGAGAAACAGTGACAGGGGAGAGACTTGTGTGTAAACAACACAGGCCCCTCTCCTGTCAGCAATAACATGCTGCTGTGTATTTCTCTGATGTGCAGAGAAATACACAGCAGCATGTTTCCCTACTAAAACACACACAGCACATACAGTAAAACAGCATACAGCACACAGTTAACCCTTTGATCGCCCCATATGTTAAACCCTTCCTGCCCAGTGTTATTAGTTCAGTGTCAGTTCTTTCAATTCTTTGTATTAGCACTGATCACTGTATTAGTGTCATTGGGATGTCAGTGGCAGTTAGTCAGTTCCCACTCAGTGTTAGAATGCCTGCCACAGTCCCGCTATAAGTCGCTGATTGCGGCCATTACTAGTTTTAAAAAATAAAAATTCCAGTATATATATATCGCCATTTGTAGACGGTATAACTTTTCACATAAACCAATTAATTTACATGTACTGGGATTTTTTTCTTAGCAAAGACATGTAGCAGAATACATTTTGACCTAAATTAATGATGAAATTTTATTTTTTAAATTTTTTTACTGGGTATGTTTTATAGCAAAAAGTAAAAAATATTGTTTTTCTTTAAAAATTGTCAATTTTTTTTGTTTATAGCGCAAAAAATAAGAAATTTTTATTGAGATATGAAAGGCATAACAAGACATAAACAAATACGGATCGCAGTCCGCGCAAGTCTTTAAGCATGTTCTCCCGTAACGCAGACGGGTTCAGGACATATAAGTAAATCGTAGCACAACTGAAATACAGTCCTAAGAGGAAGGCATAGTATATACCCATAGCAATGATGTTAGCAGTATGTAATATATAGAAAGACGGGGTACAATAGTCCTTGTGTAGGGAGATCTAAAGAAACAGGACAGTGAGGTATATAACAATAGTCGTGTCAACTCAAGGCATATATGTCTTAGGATTCCGTACCTGAACATTATAGATTAGATTTGAGGAGTATTGTTACACCTGTGTGTCTGTAAGTACTCTGTACCTTATGAAAAATATAGTTAGTTAGAATATGGTAAAGAGGTGAAAGAGAGAGAAAGAAGAGATGGGAATGAGACGAGCAAGGGAATGGAGGAAGAGTATGAGGAAAAATATCATAGTGGGGCGAGGAGGGACATAGGGGACGAATACAGAGAGAGAGAGAGAGAGAGAGAGAGAGAAAAAAAAAAAAAAAAAAAAAAAAAGGGGGGGGGGGGGAGGGGTGGGGGGGGATGGGGTGAGTTATATAACTAAATAGGCATAACCAAACCAGTCATATCAGTTAGCAGCTTCCAGGCTGAGACAGATTCAATCATTACTTAGAAATACAATTTCGTTAAAGTCCCGTAATGTAACTATTCCTGAGGTGAACGTTCTAGGGGTTTCCGTGTCACCAAATCTCCTCTCGCTCATTCCTTCATTAGACAATGATAAGTATCGGTAGTTTGGAAATGATTCCAACACGCCCAAGTCTTCCTGAATCTCTCGGGGTGTTCTTTTGCCACTGAAATCAGCTCCTCCATCTCTGCGATCCTGATGATCCTAAGAATCCACTCTCGCACGGTGGGAACGTATTCCGATCGCCAATGGATCGGAATACACTGTCTTGCCGCATTTATCATGTGTAAAGCAAGCGACCTACGATAAGTCCGCACAGAAAGTGAGGAATGATGAAGTAGACACTGTGCTGGGGTAAAGTCTAGGGTGTATGTAGTTACTTGTGTGATTATGTCCAAAACTTTTCTCCAGAAGGGTTGCAGCCGCGGGCAGTCCCCCCAGATATGTAGAAGAGTACCTGTTGCCCGGGAACATCTCCAGCATAGATCTGAGGCGTTAGGATCAAATTTACGAACCACAGACGGAACTCTGTACCATCTGGAAAATAATTTATAATTGCCTTCTTGTGTAGAGACACAAATGGAGCCTTTATGCATATGGTCGTAAATGTGGTCCCAGTCCTCTGGTGAGATTTGAAGTTGTAGGTCACGTTGCCAGGCTGAACAGGTCTTCCGCGAATGAGATGTGTTAGTACTTTCAAGATAGGAATAGAGCTTAGATATAACATGCCGCTGGGGGATGTCCGTAAAGCAGAGCTTCTCAAATGCAGTAAGCGGTCTTGAATAGTCTTTTAGATGTGGGGAGTTACGTAAGAAATGGTGGATTTGTCTATACATCCATGGTGTTAGTGTAATGGATGGCCACGTCTTTGCAATGTCTTCTTTAGATAAGAGGCTAGAATCTTTGAAGAATTGACCCACTGTAAGATTCTCATCACGGCCATACCCAGCGAGAAAGGTCGGAGAAATCCCTGGAATAAAGTCCGGATTCAATTTGATCGGAGTAAGAGGGCTCGGAAAGGAAGATAGTTCTTTTTTCTGGAACAACTGAGCACTACAGCATAGAGTGGGACCTATAAGTGGGTGTTCTCGAAACTCGGAAGGGACGTGAGAGGTTTTCAGCCACGGGGAGGTGGAGAGTGGTATCTTTGAGAAATCAGCCTCTACACCAACCCACACCTTACGAGTGTGGTTTGTTGTCCAGTCCACTATTCTGGCTAGGTGACAGGACCTGTAATAACGGTTAATATCCGGAAGTCCTATACCTCCACTCCTCTTGGGCATGGTGAGTTGGGCAAAGCTAATTCTTGGGCGTTTATTATACCAAAGAAAGGAGGTACAGAGCGTTCTATAGGATTTGAAGAATGAGTTTGGTAATTGGATTGGTATTGTCTGCAAAAGATATAATATTCTGGGGAGCACGTTCATCTTTAGTATAGCTGCCCCCTACCAAACCAAGAAAACCAGGGTTTATTCCATGTCTGTAGGTCTTTGGAGATGTCACGTAAGAGGGGTAGAAAATTTTTTTGTATATAATTCCGAAAGATGTGTTGGTAATTGGATTCCTAAATAAGTGATAGCTTCACGTTGCCAAGTAAAAGGAAAATTTGATGTCGCTTGTTTCAACACATCCGGAGTTAATGATACATTAAGTGCTTGAGATTTAGAAAAATTGATTTTAAAGTTAGCCAAGTACTGAAATAGTTTGAAATCTTGTAGCAAGTTTGGCAACGTGATATGCGGGTCTGTTAGGAAAAGAAGTATGTCATCAGCAAAGGCTGCCACTTTATGTAGTTTGTCATTGATCAAAATCCCCTTGATGTTAGCATTATCCTTAATGCAATTCAATAAAGGTTCCAATGTAAGGATAAATAAGAGGGGTGACAAGGGGCATCCCTGTCTGGTCCCGTTGCCAATTGAGAAGGAGTCCGAAAGGTGACCATTAACGCGCACTCGCGCTGTGGGGGCTATATATAGAGACATAATAAAAGTCAAAAAGCGCAAAGGCAGTCCCAGTCCAATCAAAACTGCCTCCAGGTAATCCCATGCTAGTCTGTCAAACGCCTTTTCGGCATCTAAAGAGAGAAAAAATCCAGGTTGTCGCTTTTGAAGTAGCCAGTGATGTATATTAATGGCCCTAATTGTGTTATCTCTGGCCTCTCTGCCCGGAACAAAGCCCACCTGGTCCGGAGATATGATGGATTCTATAACAGGTAGTAAACGGTTAGCCAGAATTTTAGCAAAGATCTTTAGATCAACATTTAATAGCGAAATCGGACGATAATTCACTGTAGAAGTTTGGTCTTTATTCTCTTTGGGTATAACCGTAATGTGAGCCTCCGAAAGATGACTCATAGATTGTCCTGGCGTGTCTAATGTGTTGAAGGCCTGTAGAAATGGAAGCGCTAAAATGTCAAGAAAAGATTTGTAGTAAGAGTTGATAAAGCCATCGGGTCCTGGGCTTTTACCAGGTTTCAACTGTGTAATAGCCTGTTGTAGTTCCTGTAGCGTCAAAGCTCCCTCCAATTCT